CTTCCCCGCCCCCCCTTGCGTTCCTTCAGGCTGCAGTCCCGGTCTCTCTGCCAGGGCGAGCCCATCCCTGCAGTAGCACTGGGCCGAGCTGTTCGCTACTTACCTTCTGATTGCTCCTAAGCGCTGGGCTGCTGGGTTTGGAGGTGGCCAAGGGGGAGGTGACAGCCGGGGTGGCATCCCCACTTATATAGGCTCCTGGCCTTTTCTATTTTCGGCGGGCCATACCCCCTCCTCACCGGTGTCAGATGCCCAGGGACATACTCAGTACGCTAATCAAGGGGCGCTATTAATAATCCTTGGCACCCAACTTCCCCTAGCTCCCGAAACCTGTCCCCTTGGCCGGCCGGTGCAACGCTTTCCTTGCGGAGTTTGTGGTGCGCTCTCGCCAGGGCTTCGGTTTGGCATCTGGGGCGGATGGCTGTCTGGGTGATCGCGCGGCAGGGAGCCCCAGGTGAAAGGGGGCCGCGAGCTGGGAAAGAAGGGGTGGGAAGACGCCCTCTACTCTAGGGAGCATCAGAGACTAAGGGGGAGCAAGTTTAGGGACCGGGGAGCCTGCCCCTTCCTTGTGTGCTGCCTTGGCTCATGCCCTCTGGTTAGGAGAGAGAATAAGGGTCAAGAGTCCCGCTGGAGCCTTGGTCAGGGGGAATTCTGCGCTCAGACTGCACTGGGCCACCAGTGAATTAGATGATTTAAAGAGACAAGGCGGGTGAGGTAATATCTGTTATTAGTCCCACTTCTGGGGTGAGACAAGCTCTTCCTTCACACTCAAGGGCCAGGAAATGGAGCTGTCTCATCTCCAGCCACCGCTAGCTCCTGGCCCACACCCATGACTATAGGGATGTGGGTTGCTTTCTATCACAAAAGGAATAACAAGGAAGAGCCACTGAGCCCCAGGTGCCTTTCAGCATTTTGGGGAGGGCCCTTCCCTTTTCTTTCTTCACCTGGCTAGTCTCACTGATCTACCGGCTGGGTGCCTGTTCTCTTTTCTTTTGTTCACAAACGGCTCTCCAGTGCACTCGCCACACAGGGCGCACTACACAGACACACCTGCGCTATACCCGGAGCTGTTCTCTGGGGCGTGATTTTCCCGGGGTGATGGCTGGATCCCAGCTGGGAGGAAACCATGCGTAGAGCTGCGGACTTGAACATCGCAATAAAGATCTTTAGTTTCACCACCCTCCGTGCTGGATTTTGCGACACTGGAAATTCTCCGGCAGCAGCTGGAAGCAGTTTCAAAATCGGAGGGTGAATCCAACCCACTCTGCAAACCAGGAGAGTATTCCGTGGGTTACTGTGTAGCCAGTTTCTTGTACATCCAGTTGTCATGGGATAAGAGGGAAGGTCCTTTCCTGGATTGATAACTGGTTAAAAGATAGGAAACAAAGGGTAGAAATAAATGGTTACCTTTTCAGAATGGAGAGAGGTAACTAGTAGGGTCCCCCAAGGGTCTGCCCTGGGACCAATCTTATTCAATTTATTTATCAATAATCTAGAGAAAGGGGTAAACAGTGAGATGGCAAAATTTGCAGATGATACCAAACTGCTCAAGATAGTTAAGACCAAAACAGGCTGTGAAGAGCTTCAAAAAGATCTCACCAAACTAAGTGATTGGGCAACAAAATGGCAAATTAAATTTAATATTGATAAATGTAAACTAATGGACATTGGAAAACATAATCTCAACTATAGATACAATATGAATGGGACTAATTTTGCTACAACTACTCAAGAGAGAGATCTTGGAGTCACTGTGGATAGTTCTCTGAAAACATCCACTCAATGTGCAGAAACAGGCAAAAAAGCAAATAGAATGTTAGGAATCATTAAAAAAGGGGTAGCGAATAAGACAGAAAATATATTATTGCCTCTATATGTGGTATGCCCACATCCTGAATACTGCATATGTGGTTGCCTCATCTCAAAAAAGATATATTGACATTGAAAAAGGTTCAGAAAAGGGCAACAAAATGATTAGGGGTTTGAAATGGGTTCCATATGAAGAGAAATTAAAAAGAAGTGGACTTTTCCACTTAGAAAAGAGAAGACCAAGGGGGGATATGATAGATGTCTATAAAATCATGACTGGTGTGGAAAAAGTAAAAAAGGAAAAGTTATTTACTTAGTCCCACAGTATAAGAACTAGGGGTGAACAAATGAAATTAATAGGCAGGAGGTTTAAAAAAAACAAAAGGAAGTTTTTCTTCACTCAGTGCACAGTCAACCTGTGGAACTCCTTGCCAGAGGATGTGATGGAGGCTAGGACTTTAACAGTGTTCAAAAAAGAGCTAGATAGATTCATGGCTATTAGCTAGGATGGGTAGGAATGGTACCCCTCGCCTCTGTTTGTCTGGAAATGGGTGACAGGAGAGGGATCACGTGAGGATTACCTGTTGTGATCCCTCCATCTGGGGCATCTGGCATTGGCCACTGTCAGCAGTCAGGATACTGGGCTAGATTGACCTTTGGTATGACCCAGTATGGCCGTTCTTATGTTCTTACATGCCTGTGCATTCCAGTGCGCCACAGGATTTACTTCCAAAATGCTATTACTGTCATGTTACTGGATTTTGAGGGGAGCATCTAGATCAATACTGCACCCAAGGGGGGAGGTGTGGTATTTGTCCCAAACTGTAAACAAAGGGCGCCATGTGAGGTGTCACATGAAAGTTTCTGTTCTACTGATTCTGTATATGCTATTCATATAATTGTATAAATCTGTATGTGGAGTTATAAACATGTACTCTGTGTGGATGCTGGAAAATTGTCTGTGGCTGAGCAATGGGCAAAGAATGCTCAGCCAATGGCTATGCTAATTAGCAAGGGGACAATGAATCTCTAAGTGCCAATACTCACCTCAGGAATGTGACTGATATCTGGAAACCAACATAAGATGCAAGGATAAGTTGTTGGACCATATGACCTTCTCTGACCAGGAAGATGCCATGGCGGTATATAAGTGCTTTGTGGCACCCTCCATCTGGTCTTGAGTTCAGCTCCTGATCCCAGATGCAGCCTTGCAGGGAACAACAAGCTGAGAAGAACTGTGGACCTGTCCTGACATAGGATGTACACCAGAGACTTTTAAGATAGCAGTTTATAACACCTCTGCTAAGAGCCTGTATTGAGAACTGGGTGATTCGATGCATGTAATGTATTTTCTTTAACAACATTACTCTCATGCTTTTCTTTCTTTTTTAATACACTTTTAGATTTTAGATTCTAAAGGATTGGCTCAGCGTAATCTTGTGGGTAAGATCCAGAGTGTAAATTGACCTGGGAACTGTGGCTGGTTTCTTGGGACCGGAAGAACCCGTTCGGGGTAGGTGAGATTGGGTTCTAAAACCCCTCACCTGTGTGCAGGCCTGGGGCTGATTGGGGCACAGGAAGAGCTGGGGTGTCAGAGGGGTTTTGCTCGTGAGGCTTCTGGCTGGCCAGATTGGCAGCTGAAGCGCTCGGTGTGACTGGTTTGTGGCCTATTTGGGAAGGTCTCCAGTCTGGGGCTGTAAAGAGCCCTGAGTTTGAGCAATTTGCCCTGAATGGATGGTCTCAGCCATGCCCAGACCCAGCCCGGTCCATCACAATTACCTTTTGGGGATCATCCTGACCTCCTTATTCTTCACTCCAGCACCCAGCTGCCCCATTGCCCTCTGGGTGGACAGGAGCTGGCTGATGTTTTTTGCCCTTGGATGTTTCACTCAGGTAGGATGGGCGTGAAAGCAGCGTGGACCCACAATGTGCCCTTTACTGACACCTGTAGGGTGGAGTTCGCTGCCCACCTCACAAATTCCTACCGACTGATATGGGAGCAAGTGTATATGTTGGTTTAGGGATGGCAGAATCTTCTTGGTAGGGGGCTGTATTCCCCTTGGCACATACCAGGATGGGCTTTCCCTCTTGTTTTCCTCTTTTAACTGATTTGAGAAGGTGGGGGCTGTACCTTTCCCCCTGGATGCTAGCCTGAGGCTTACCTGCCTTGCGCCAATGCATGTGTGTTTGTCCACCAGTGGGACAGAGAGCCAGCAGCTAATGTAGAACAAGTGGAGCGCTAGTCAATGCGACTGCCTTGTGTAGTCCGGCAGTGAAAGCCCCACGTATTAGAGGGAGAGACTGAAATCCTACTGAATCTATTCGCAAAAGGGAATGAGAACCTGTGCCCCTCAACAGACAGAGAGCAAGGGCTCCGTCAGATGCTACCTGACAATAGTTCATTAGCTAATGGCTTTTCCATTTGGTGAGATAGAGACACACAACCAGACTCTTCTGGGTCACTGCTCTGAATCCAGTTCAGGCCCAGAATCACTGAATGTTGTTAGAACGAGACACCGGATCAGAGGAGTTCGCATTTATAAAAGGGTAAGTAGGGAGGGTGTCTCACCAGGCTAATGAATAGACATGCAGCCACCACCTCAGTTGGCTATTTTAGGAGAGGCCAAGAACTGAATGGGCCTTAGGAACATTCTCCAGTTTTATAGCTGTCTTGCTGACAGGAACTGTTTCCTAATTCTCAACTTACTTTTTCCTTTCTCATCTTTATCCCATTGCTCCCAATTCTATCTCCTTGAGCAATTCCCCTCTCTCCCCTGGGCCTATTTCCCTTCAGATATTTTTATAGACAGTTATATTATCCCCTGTCATCAGTTAGCCACGCTATACATAATTAGCTTTTTTAATCATTCCTCATAAATCAGTCCCTTTAGCCCCTTAATCATTTTTGTTGCTCATCTCGGAATTCTCTCCAGTTTTGCTGGCATCTTTCCAATTGCAGGACAGTGTAGGGTTGCTTTGCTCTCTGAGCTCCAGGACTATCCTCAACTATCTGTGGCAGTTTCCAACCTGCTCCCAGGAAATAATCCAAGAATAATAAATCAGGTTGAAGTTTCTGGGGGTATGGGCACGCATCAGACGCAGTGACAGGGCACAATGCAAATTAGAGCTGAAAGCCATCTCCATGGGAATTGCCAGCCTTAAAAGAACACCTTGCAGGTCTGGAGCACATTTCAATTAGAAGGGCCTCAAAGCTCTTTGTAGGGCACATGCTGTCTATAGGGATCTCTTCATGCGTTGCTCTGAGCTATTGTTAGAGGAAGGACAGGACTCTGCTAGGCGGCACCGTTCTCTTCCATGTCCTCATTATGGGTCTTGAGCGGCATCCAGCCACTTCCT